TCTATTAAAACTGCTGTACTACTGCTCGGGAATCCAAAAAGCCTATTTTTATTTTTCTATGCTCGATCTAGTAATCATGAGACAAACAAATACATATGATTAGAAAGTGTTTTGGTAATACTCACCTTTCTTCAAAAATTTCAAATTGAACTGGACATTTTGAGTATGAATTGTATATTTTAGTAAGTAAGTCGATCTTTCCTGCATGCAATGGATGACATCTAAAATATTTTCATCTTAGTAGCTAGTAGTATTTTGTCCGTTATTTTTGGAGATAAATACATATCTATGTAACTTTTTTCTCATTTTTTCTTCATTATCATCAAAACACTTTCTAATCATGTATTTGTTTGTCTCATGATTACTAGATCGAGCATAGAAAAATAAAAATAGGCTTTTTGGATTCCCGAGCAGTAGTACAGCAGTTTTAATAGAACAAAACTTTTTTATCCCGTTTGATGATATAAGTTACACTCATTCATTTGCGCAATTACTTCTTAGATGAAAAGCATTATAGAAGTAAGTCAAAACACTCTCATTAATGTTCTATAATAGAGTGAGGATAAAACCTTTCCTCTTACACGTATAATTACCTAAGATATTAGCTAAACTTAGTTAAATATGAACGAGAACAAGAGCTTATTCGGTCTCTCCTTTTTTTATCTTATTAGACATAAAAATGATCTCATCGCATATTCATTGAGAGAAATTTACGAAATACAAATACTAATTTGAATTCAATGTCATCAGTCAGTCTATCATGCCATTATATTATTGGATTATATTAATATCTTGAGGCATCGCTATCGGATGTGTATTGCCGTACATCCTTAGCTGTTTAAGTCAAACACCATCACAAAGACTTTACAATAATAAATTTTGGGCCACTATCACCTCACATCTTCGTTTTACTTCTACTTTCTTTTTTTCTGTTGTTCATTATATTATCAATCTGTATTTTAATTTACTTTTCCATACTCTAGTATTCAGAGCTAGACTTATAATGATTTTTTTGCAGGCCTTATTTGAAAAGAATCAATAAAAATATAAACAAAAAAAAACCATACATTTCATTTCTTTATTGTATTTTATTGTCTTTTAGTTTGTCTATATAATATAGTGTTGTTGTTTCTTGGTTATTATTACTTGTCTATCTGCCAGCTTGATGAGTTACATCAGTTCTGTCAAATGGATGTGGACATAGTTTGGTCTTGTACTTCTGTCACGGCTAATTCGCATTAAATACTATTTTGTTTTGGGAAATAAAATATGAAAATTATCTTAAATCATTTTATGCATTGAACATCAACCTTCGTTATTTGGAATGATACAAGCAAAATTATGTACGACACACCTATACGATGTACACTGCTGCTGACAGATAAAATTAGTTCTTAAGTAAGATAACAATTTTATTTTAGTAGAACTTTTTTATATTAGAGAATACTCTTTACAGAGAAACGTTTTTGCTCATATTGTTTAGTGTCAATAAGTGAGACGATGTCCATCATTGGAACGTTATTTGTTATAGTTTTTGATTAACACATAAGTATACAATAGAACTGAAATATTAGCTTTTTGAGATTTAAAATGATTGATAGTTGTTTCGATTATTTACTCTGCATGTATATTGTAATTTATTCGGACGAAGTCTTGATCCATTAATCCTACAAAATGCTTATGCTAAACTAATATCTATATTCCCGATCCTTAACTCAATTTCTAATTCACCTATGCACACAATATTTTTGTACAGTTAACGTTTTTTGTTATATCGTTTACTGTATAAACGAAAGTGAAAAAAAAAACGAATGAACAACGAAAGATTTCAGTTACAAGCAACGAAAGAAAATAGGATAATTAAAATGAGCAAAATGTTTATATTCCACGAGAAATAAGGAATATAAACAAAAAGGAAATAAAAAAGGATTTGTTGAGATCATGTTGAGATACGCATAACACATATACACGTAAAAAAAGTGACTACATTTCTTTGATATAGAAAATATGCGCTCAATAAAAAGCAAATCAGCGAACAGAATACACTCAACACACGCACACAATCTTGAAATTAGAGGTGACACATTATTGTTACCATAAATGGTTACTTTATTAACAGAAAAAGTAGTAATTTTTGTTTTTCCATGTTAACTGTTCTCAATAATAAAACTAAAGTAACAATAATGTGTCATTTCTACTTGAAATATGAAAATGAAAAATACGATAGAATGCTAATTCTAACTAGAGAGCCAACGGCCCTGCGGAAAGATTGATAAGTCGACTAAGTGAAACGGGAAATAAACGAAATGAGGACATCTAGAAAGTCAAAATCGTTTGATCTGTTTTTAAGAAAGAGAATATTCAATATGAGAATGAGAAATTCAATGAATGAATTCAATGAATTCGATGAATAAGAATATTAAAACAAATTGGACATTTAAGAAGATACTGTGAGAAATTTAAAAAGTAAATTGAACCTAGTGTTTTCTCCTTCAACAGCAAAACATGTTTCGAAATTTATTCAGCCATGTTTATCTCACATTATCATATCAGCTGATTTATTATCCTCTCATACATTCTGCTGTAGCTTTCATCATGTCAAGGACTATAGTATTTATTTACTACGAAGAATATTACGTGACGAGTAATTAGCAACGATAGAGTTCTAGAAAAATGTTGCTCATTTTGTGGGACTAACTATAGGATAACTCAAGGAAATATCGGTAAACTAACGTCAGACGTATCATCTACGTTCGAGTCACCTTTTCCTCAAAGGTATATGATCAGAGATAACCGAGATGCTGCCTTGAAAGAGAAAACACAATGTCAAAAGAAAGAAGAATTTTGCTAGGCAACGCCGGGATAAAAAGCACTAAATCTCCTTTCGTTTCACTCAGTCGACTTAATTAGAATAAATAGATTTATAAAGAAAATATTTGGCATCAACGCATACGTTTTGGCCGAATTAGATGCCAACAAAAATGAAATATTTGCTAAAACAACAGGATTTAAAAATGAATCTAGACTATTGCTGTATATTAAGTGTTCTTCTTGTTAATTAAGGCTCTTCAGACTTGGATGCCACTAAAAACACGAATTCAAATTGACATATATTTTATTGATAATATAGTCTCAAATACTTACATGCTAATAAAAATGCTAAAACAGCTGAACCAAATACCAGTACAAGTGCTATAATTTCAAAACCTGTTGACCATCCGATGACAGTATGATACGTATCATTAATTGTACTAAGCAATTCAGCATTAGCAAGACGAGCTCTTTCACGAGTGAATTGATCATCTACAAAAAATATTGACAAATAAAACGAGTTATGATTTTTCTATCTAATTCAATGCTCACTATGTCGGCGTATATAATTCTTTAATCCATGTAAATTAAATGACAATCGATTTTGAGTATTCGTCGAATTATTATCAATAGTATTCAAAGGAAATTGAAATTCTTCATATGAATCACGCCGTAGATCTACAAAGATAAAAAGTTTTTCTTAATTATAGATAAGTTCAATTCCCTCTTTCTCTCTTTTCTTATACTCACATGAACCAAGTAGAATTAACGTTGTTAACATGAACAAAAATGCCATTAAAATGAACAGAAATGGAGCAAAACCTAATAAAAATGCGGCTGATTCTAAAACATACAAAACAAAAACAAATTTCTACAATTTAAAAGCTAAGTATATCACACACGATCATTCAGAAATCGATTTTAGCCATTATCCCATCTCCTCTTCAACACTCAACTTTAAATCTCGTTCTGACAGTGACAGTCAAGAGAGACAGGTAAAATTTCTTCTTTTAAAATATATTGATTTTTTCTTTTCTTTTTTTGTACTAGATAGTCTCTAGAAAATCGAATACGAACCATTTTGCGGTGTAGCAATCAATTTCATATACAATAATAACAGTCCAATAATAAGTACAATTGCTGCTAGAATCGTTAACCATTGAAGACCTTTTGTTGATGGTAAATATCGACATTTACATCCATCAGGTAATGTTTGAGATGAATATAGACCACATTCACGTCGTCGATGAAAACATTCATTATTATGATCAGCAGAATATCGTAAATAACGATTTGGCAAACAAACATATGTTGCACGTTGATTAATTGGTAAACCTTGTTTTTGAAATGTTACATTTTGCATTTCACAACGTTCCCATAAACCATATGAAATGGGTGCCAATGGTGGATCTTTATCACGTTTTGTTATTTTCCATTTTGTTGTAAATATAGCTAATAAATGAAGTACAAGACCACCAAGACCCAAAAATAATGCTAATGTAAGGAGTACAACACCTTTGATACGCATAATATTTATTTAAAAGATAAATTATCACTACTTGAATTAAAAATTAGCGAAAAAGGATAAAATTGTAAATAAAGTGAAAATATATTTACTTCTTGTGTTTTTGTATGACAAATAAAATCTGCTACTAGAAAAACACTATGTAGAAAAAACAATAACAATTTTTATCTAAAAAGTAAAACAACTAGAGTCAAATATAAATACTCTCAGACTAAAATTCATTTATAGTTCGAGATAAATAATTGACACTTTATTTTTGTCATATATAGGTCGAATTTATCTTACATCATCGTTTTTATACTATACCTTTAAAAATTCATTGATGTCTGCCAAAAGTGATGATATCAGAATCTTTTTCTCTAGTGTACTCTTTTTTTTCTAACCCACCTTTTAGCAGATGAAACAAGTAAATCTGTTCGAAAAACTAATGTATTTTTCATATACAATTATGCTTGACTTCTCATCCTCAGTGTCATTTTTGACATATTTTGAAAAAAAAACTAGAACAAAAATTTGTGTAATTCTAAATCTCTGTAGAAATTTATTTTTGTTTTTATGAACTGTTCACTAAACATAAAAAAAAATATGAAGAATCAAACAGCTAAACTGTGTAACTCTTACTACCGAAGTGTGAATGCGTTAACATTTCTGCTATTTTTGTTTCTACTATAGTATTAACAGGAAACAATCTAAAAATATGAGAAACGTCTCATTTGGTAGCTCAATATATGCTCTTCGAAAATCACTCTAGGATCAGTTCGAATCACTCAATCTTCTTTGCATTATGATTAAAATACAGTAAAGTTAAAATTAAAATCATCTTTTTCTCGAATATATTAACATTTCGATTTGTAAAGCAAAGAAGATTGAATGAATCGAACTGATCATAGAATGGATTTCGAAGAGCACACTTTTAGCTACAAAGTGACACGTTCTAGTAGAAATAGGAACGCACACTTACATTTCGATAGCAGAGTTATACCATTTAACCGTAATGTTAAGAATATTAAAAATATCTTGATAGGTGAACAGTTCTATTCTATATCCAATTACAGTGAACAATAATAATTATTTGATTAAATATTATTTGTACTTCTCTTTAATGAGAAATCATTGTTTTATATTTGTCATTATTTTTTTTTTTCATAGAAAAACGTATAAAAATTTTTGCTTTCCAAACAAAAAATTTTGACAGAGAATTTTCATCGTACGTGTTTAACGAACAGATGCCAATGGTAAAGAGAAAAAAAAAACTAATAATAATAACAACAACGAACAAGTAGATATCACAGCATGTATACTGAAAACTTTCTGATCATGATGAGTCGAGAAATTTTTTAATCGGATCTATCCTATTGATAGAACTAACTTCCGTAAAAGTAAAATAAAATTTTTTTCTTTGCTCTATATGTATTTATTTACAGCATGTGATCGCATTTTTCTTTTTTTTTTCTTCAATAATCCAACATCTTTTCTCGATCTAGTCCTGTAGTGTGTCAAATTTCAGACAACTAAAATGAAGAAAAAAAAAAAAACGTTGTAATAACCCTCGAATAACCACAAAAAAATGTTTAACATCTAATAAAAATTTACTGAATTTACCTCCTGTACACTCTTTTTTTGATAGACAAAAAAATCAAATCTTCTTCGCATAAAATCACATTACCTACCGGTCAAGATGTTACCAAACAAAAAAAAAAAAAATTCAATTGTATTCAAATTAATATAATAAATATCCCTTTTGTTGGTTCTATTTTAAATACTATGTGTATGTGTGCGTGTGTGTGTGTGTGCATTCGCTTGATATCATAATCTTTTGGTTATAGGCACAAGAAAGAAGAAGGAAAAACACTCGTGTAACTTTATTTCTCTTTTTATATTATTATTAATATATGCCAATATATGTATTAGGTAACACATATGAGCACACACACAGACTATGATAAAAACTAATTGGATTAGAACTTACTTAGATACCTTAAGTCATGGGACCAAAGTAGTGTTTTATAAGTGTGTTAGAAAACAGTATCTAACTATAAAAGACTATACTCAGATAAAAGATATTTTTGTTCATCAAGTTTGTTTAAAGAAAACATGAAAAATCATTCAAATGTTCGATGATCCCCTCTCAATTAAACAAAATAATTACTTTGTAATACGTCTTCTACACTTTAAATGAAATATGACCTATTTTCAGTGAGTCTTTTCTTCAGAATGTGGCACCTCTCAACTACTGTAACACTTCGATTTAGAGATTTGAAGCTTTTTTTCAGAAAAAAAAAAACATTAATATTTTTTGCTCTGTGCTTATGTATGTCAGAAGAAAACGGTGTTAAAATAAATGATAAATGTGAAAATGAAGCATATTTTTACGTCGTAGAAAAATTAGTTTACTTACATATTACATTTGCCACAGAAAGCTGTGGCTTTTTACCGCAGATAGATGGTACACACTATTTTTTTGTTTTATTCTTAGTTAAAAAACATCAAAAAAATCTAATCCGAAAATAAATACATCGTTTATGTTGTTTTTAAGTATTTTTTTGTTTAATTCAACATAAATGTATAAATATTATGTGTCATCTATCTGTGGTTTCACCTCTATACATCAAGTTACACCTTATTAAAATACTATTTTAAATTTTAGCTATATTTTATCGCAGTAACTTGTTTAAAAGTTCAATCAAGTATGGAGAGATACTTTCCATATAAGAAAAGTTTCCATATAATTTAATTATATTAGAAAATAATGGATTTATAATACATTAGTCATTCATTCATAGACTTTTCTTAGAAGTATAAGTTTTAAGAAGTTGCAGTAGTCGTAGTAGTACATAAATACGTTCCATATCAATGTCTGACTATTTTTTTCCTATTGAAAAACCGCAAAAAAAAAATCCAAATTACTTCCACTTATGAAAAAAACTGATACTATAATAATCAAATTTGAATACGTTAAAGTTATTAGTCTTACCCGAAAAGCTTGTATACCGCTGAATTGAACAGTCGGTCGCACTTCATGCTCTCCGTGTATAAATCTTTTACTTTTCTATATGAAGAGTAAAACTATCAGTCAGATATTCATATATTCATATTTGTTCTACTGTAGTAGATACATTATGATGAACTATTAACTCTCTTATTTCTTTGTTCAAGAAAGAAAAAAAAAACCCGAGAAAAAAAAATCGATTTTAGAAACGTAACATGTACAATATAACAACGAAGCATAGCAGATGGTGTAAAGATACAATTTATGATGCGAACAAGAGATAGAGAGACAAAGAGTGCAGAAAGAATGAATGTATATATGTGTTGAGTTGAGTCAAAAGTGGGATATGTATATATGAAGAGCTGAGAGATTGAGAGAGAAGAAGAAGAAAATGATGTTCCGTCTTCCAAGCCTGACAAGACTTATCTCATACCTTTTGTAACATATATATACACACACACACAAGAGAAAAAGAACACCGATTGTTAAATGAGGAAGAGAAAAAAAAAGAACAGACGATGGGAGAGTATGATGCTCATAATTTAAAAATTAAGTTCATTTACACAAAATAAAAGAAAAAGAATGATGGACATCAACAGAGCAAAAAAGAAATGAGTTTAATAATGATAGTTTCTTTTTTCTTTGCCTAGAAGTGATGATGATGATGATGATGATATTCCTTGAAACAAAATTTTTTTTATGTTTTAGAGAGTGTATAGAGAAAACAAAAAAAGAAAGATATTTTTAATCTAAATATAGACTAGAGACTCGTCATTGGTTACTATCTCAATGAATATAATAAAGTAAATTCATCATTTCATATCCTCATGTTAACGGGTATCATAAATTTCTGTAAAAAATTAATAACATTGTTTCTTCCATTTGTATTTACCTTCGAGTTAATATAATAAATATTGTGTATTATAGAACAGTAACATCAGCTTGTAGGCTCAATTAAATTAATGTCATTATATTAGCAAAGATTATTATTCATAAATTTTAAAATTTGAAATATTAATGATTAAAATTATGATATGATGAATATATTGATTTTTAGGTTGATTTCTTTTTTTTTTGCTTGTATAAGAACTAAATTTGTATAATAATCGTTTATTTAAGCAAAGCAATAAAGAAAATTAATGCAAAGCAGACTATGGACTATGGCAAACATGCATGACCATTCATTTTTTTTTTGTTTATCAAAAAAAGAAAAGAAATATCATACACAAATGACATTTATTTAAGAGACAAACAACAATCACAGTTGCAGAATAACTGAAGTTAAAGTAATAGTGCAATGAGATAAAATCACACACATCAACTAATAATTTCAAAACAAATGAGAGCAGTCAGCCACTGAACTCACAACATAGACAAAGAATAATTTGCTAGTTATATACAACAATACAACACTATTTATCTAGTCTAATAGAGAAAAAAACAAAAAAAAAACATCACTAAGTAATTCATATAATCATATAAAATAGATATAACGTTCATCGGTGATCCTAGAAAGAATAGCAAGATGTACAAAGCGCTGTGATATAGAATAAGCAAAAGCAAGTAAGTACACAAGCTAATTGTTATGATATCAAAATGAAGCTATTTTAACTCTCAAAAATTCAAAAAAGAAAACAAAAATTGTCATAAGCAAAGCTATGCAGAAGTATTGTATATTTTATGTAGAAAATTGTTTTAATTATTATAAAACATTTAATTTACCATAGTTTAAGTCTAAATTCTAGAATATATATGTCAACAAGAAGCATAGTCTGTGTTAAAAATCTATTTTTTCAATCTTTTGTCTCATTTTTTTTTAGTGTAAAAAAAAGGAAATTGTTTTATTATAATGAATTTCATAGTTACACAAATATTACTTACATTTATATTGAGATTAATATTCTGTTGTTGCCAATGCTAACTCTAATGATAATACTAATACGAGAAAAGCTGATACAAGTGCAATGATTTCAAAACCTGTTGACCATCCAATATGTGCATCATAATTATTTAGATGATATGTTTTAAATTCTTCTATTGCTTGTTTATAGAATGTATCTTGATCTAAAATATAAAAATGATGAATTATCATCTTAAATTCATTATTATACGTCAATATTTTACGTTTATTCAATTGAAAATATTGTTTTAATCGATAAAGATTGACTGACTCTCCTGTTAGTATAGACGATAATACAACATCATAATCTTCATATTCATCACGTCTTAAATAAGCACCAATTAAAATTAATGTTGTTAACATAAATAAAATTGAAAAAAATATGAATAATATTGGAGTAAAATTTAATAGAAATGCTAACATATCTAAATAAAAAATGGATCAAAGACTGTAAATGACTAATGAGAGTTCATTAATCATTTGTATAACTAACAAATCATACCATGTTGAGGTATTGCAATTAATTTCAAGTACAATAATAATAATCCGAGAATCATAAATATTGCAGCTAATATACAACACCATTGTAAACCTTTTGTCGATGGTAAATAATTACATGTACAAGGATGAATTACATTTGTAAGAGATGAACATAGATGACGATAAATGAAACCTAAAAGAGAAATAAGAAAGTAAAAATTTTTAATGATAAAAGAATATAAATATAAGCATAAATAGCTATGATACTTACATATTTCAGTATCTATATCTTTTGATTTATAACGTAAATATGTATTTGGACGACAGACAAAATTTCTAATTGTAGGTGTTCCTGTATCAAAATTAATTATATTTGTGCTAGAAGATTTGATTACTACTGGAGTAGCAAATGATATATCCATATATTGACAACGTTCCCATAGACCTAGTATGATTATTATTATTATTAATATAGATGATGAAAAATATTTATAGAATTATATACCTACCATAGTAATGTGGATTATTATTTGATATATTTTGAACACCTTTCGGTATTGTAACTTTCCAACGTTTAGTAAACCTGAAAAATGATAATTTTTTTTTCTTCATACTATTTGATTTTAATTTATTAAATGACTATTATATTACTTACATAGCTAAAAAATGAAATATCAATGCGGTAATACCAAGTAATAATGCCAGTGTAATTATAATAACACCTTTAATACGTATCATTTTGTCAATATTCTAGGAGGATAGAATAAAAAAAAGAAAATATCAATAGCTCGTTTAGAATGAGTTACTATATCAACTCTTTAATACACAATTCAAAATATAGATCTAACGATGTTAGCCAACATGTAAAATGATGGAATGTAGATTAAGAAAGATTTTCCATCTTGAACCGTAGTACACAGTATGAAGATATAATTTATGATGAGGAGAACAAGAGAAGTTTTTAGAAGAACAACAAGACAGTTAAAAGCTGTTCAAAAGTGTCTTTAATTTCGCCGCCATCAGCTCGGTTAACATCTCATCATACATAAGAGACACTGTAACCTTAATGTCTGAGAATCATCGATCATCTACGCTATCAAAGCAAAAGAAAACAGATTTTTACTACAAGTCTAATCTTTATATGACGATTATCAAATCGTTTTAATTCTACTAATCAATTTTTAAGTATTAACTTCAAAAACTGTATTTGAAATAAAGAATGACAATATTCCTCAAAATAAAATTCTATACAATTTATTTTAAATTGATTTAATCGAGAAAACGTTTACTCGAAAGAATACTACTTTTTATACAGCGCTATTGTCACTCTTATCTTAGAAGAATTACAAATAAGTTATAAAAGACGTGATACGATTAGTATCTATAGTAGTCTACGTATATCTGTTTCGAAGAAGAAGTGAAAATAAAACAGGGAAAAAAGAAATCTAGGACACTTTTATTTTTGAGAATACATCTAATCATATACAATAGACTAAAACAAATAGAAACACGTGTCACATATTTATGATCTACTTGCTCGTCACATGTTTTTTGTTTTAAAAGAACAATAATAAATTTTAGAGACCAAGAATAAGTAAAACTTATCTTTCTCTCTCTGACTATAGAATATACGTCAAAAAATATAAATGTTTTAACTCTGATAATCACCACAAATGATTCGACATTTTCTAGTTGTATGTGTTCTTCTACATGAACAATCGAAAATATATCAAAGATCAAATAGATACCTAATACGCACGACTCCCAAACAATCAAAATACTTATGAATAGTAGTATATCATATTGTTGTTGAACGATTGATTTTATTTTCTTCTTTTACATTTTTGTTAGGATGTTCAGTAGACCTTGACGTATAGTTTATTTTAATATTCCTTTTTGCCTATTTTGGACACACTTTACTGCAATCGCAAACGCTCAAATTAAACACAAACAAAAAACAAATAAAAAAAGTTAAATAAAATGTTCCCATGAGTTTAATAGATCATTTAATATTTTATGATAATTGAACAATATTCAGACTAAGAAGTGATATAAAACATACATTATTCATATTGTCTCTACAGACATAAAATCTCATCTAAATTTCAACAGGCAGGTATTTTATTTTTTATTTTCATCAATTATCAAAAACTATTATTACCATAGTATTTGTATGAAAAGAATCGACTTACGTTTTAGTTACACGATGATGTTCTTAACTACGATTAATATAATTATCCGTTGTTCAAACATGTCTCTCTATACACGATTAATGACTTAATCATAATTATTATAAGTTATGTTAGAAATTCAACTAAATCACTATTATCCAGTGTAAACGTCTAGTCATAATTAATAGAAAGTTGAATACTTAAAAATGGAAATAAAGAAGAACTTGTTTTTCTTGTTATATAATTTTTTAACATTTTTATAAGTAAAAATTATTGTTTTGTGTATTTCAATGTTTAATTACATTACAAAAAAAAAATGAGTATATTTCATCGTTATTACAAAATTATTTGAAAAATGAGCTGACATTTCAATTTTCTACGATATTTGATAAGTTTCTGTTAATAATGAATAGTACTTAATCACAATTAAGTGTTTATACGATGTTATTAATTACCGTTAAATTACGATTAAAAATAGTAGCATTTTTACACTGGTAAAAATTTTTTTATCATAATTAATTTTAAACATGATCAATAGTGTGATTTTTCACGTTTTGTCAAATACTTTTTCCACTAACAATATCAAAAATAAGAAAAGTTATGGAAGACATACTTTGGACATAAATAGCACGTATATCCAAAAATGAAGTTATATCTTGATGATCTATCGACTTTTTATATTAAACGATTCTTCAATTACAAATAACTATTTCTTCTTTTTTCGATCTAACCTATTACATTTCAAGTCTAAGGCAATAAAATAAAAGAGAAAAAAAAAATACAACTAATTGATTTAATTATTTAACGTTAACTGTTCTTTTATTAAATTAGATAACTTACTTGTAAATTAAATATTTTCATGATGTTTGGTAGTGGTTTTTCTTCATCATCACTTCTCTATTATATTAATAATAATCATTTATGAGTGAAAGTTAACTACTTTTTTTTTGTTGCAACTCTGCTAAAACTCTGTATCTTCATTATATATAATCTCAATGAAATTAACTTGTAAACACAAACAGTGACATAACAAACAAACAACATTTAGATTATGTTCCATCCATGTCTTCTTTTCTTTTCGTTTACAGTCGTACTGCTCTAGGATACTATTTGAGACGAGAGAATATCAACGTTGTAATCATGGACAGAATATATTTTTTTTTATACATATATAGATGATTTCTTGCTATTCTCTTTCTTTCTTTTTTTCTTTATTATCATATTTACAGAATGATAAAAAGGTAATAGTAGAACAAAAAGAAAAATACAGAAATAAGAATGGAGGGGTGTCCATGAGTGTTGTTGAATGTTGCGGTTTTTTCTAAAAAAAAACAGAAAGAAACCAAACACATAAAAACAATCTGTTAATAAATTTTTCTGCGATCGGCATATCAACGCGAATAATGAAAATAAATGAGTATCATTTACTCAGCCCTAACAGAGACGTGCACTCTATTCTCAAAACAATGGGAGAAGAGATGTGAAATTAGTATACCAAACACAGTTTCCGTATTGTTCTAACAATATATTTCTATGTAAGAATTTTTTTATTTCTTCTTTCTCTCTCTCTCTCATCGATCATGTTCCTATCATGGGAACAAGGTAATTTCGCACATTGACATATCATATTATTCGTTAAGTTAGTCTGGTATAAGAATTGAAGTTGAAGCAAATGTTTATAGTAATACAGGTTACACAATTTTCATCATAAATCATGTAGCGAATTTTATCAATATGTTGATATGTTGTGATAAAAATAATGCAATACTCATTAACTATCATCATTTGATAACTGTTTATTCTCATCGATATCTTTTTATAAACTATACTCTAAATGACAAAATGTCGTCTAATCGATAAATGATATTTCTATTTGAGAATGATCAATGTTTAAATTAAAAAATACAAATATGATGAGAATATTTTCTTAATTAATACTGGAAATAAAAAAAGTAAATTTTTGTTTAGAATGTATCTCTCTGTACAATGTTAAAGATAACACAAAAAAATTGTATCAATGAGTATAGTATCATCGCTTCTAATATCATGACAGATGGTCAATAGACAAATACAGTGTCAAATAGATGAAGAAAAAAGGAAGGGAGAAAAAACAGGCAACATTATTTAACGAGTTATGTCAATCATGCACTTACAATAAATATCAGAATATATATCTGTAAAATATTCATATGATTAATTAACTGAATTCTGCTTTGATTTCACAACACATTCACACATTTTTCTATATGTTACAGACGTGACTAACGAAAAATATTTTTTCTATGAAGTAAGTTATACTGAAATACACACACACACACGTTATTCATACAATTCTCTCTTATTTTCAAGATTATTAACGGGGTTAATCGATTGCTTCGGTGCGTTACATATACCCAAGACAAATAAGAGGCAAAAGAAATTTTGATGTACTTGCTGAACTTTTTTTTTTGCAACAAAGTGTTTTGCAAATTGTTTACTCATCTATTTAAAAATTGTTTCATACAAAACAAGAATGTAACGTAATAGCTAACGATAAAAGAATAATGGAGAATAATAGCGCTATCATTTATTTTTATTTATTTTTTGTTTGTCTAGAATCAAACTATTTCTTTTTGTGTTAATTAGAAAAATGGCAATATTGTAAGAGTACTACTTTTGTATCATATAGATACTTAATCAAACGAACCAGATATATTATTTTTAGCATAGTATAGAAATAATGGCTATTGGTTTTAGATTGGAAAATTGAATATGTGTTGAATGGGGAAAAACAAAAGAAGAGAGATTTATTTTACTCTAAATTATGTCCATTGAATTAGGTATTTTCATAACTTTTTAAATAGAATAATAATAAGTAATCTCAATGATATGATATGTAGACCGATTAACTCAAATATATTTGACATACAAATAACACATATAGAAAGCCGATACTAACAAGTTCATATTTTTCTATGAATTTGGATAGACATGATAAATGTCTGTTTTATTTTATATTCAAATGGGAAAAATGATCAGTATAATTTATTAGTTTTTTTTTCTTCTTCACATTATCAATACATTATATATATATAGAGAGAGAGAGAGAGGGGGGGGGGGGGGGGCCAAGGGAAAAAAAACGGGGGGTTGGGGTTGGGTTGAAGGGGTCGGTTTTTTGCGGTGGGGTGTTGTGCTTGAGGTTGGGGGGACC